TTTCGTTTCATACTTTCGAAACGACGCACACAATATACCCCGAGTTTCAGCGAACATTAGTTTAGTTTAGGTTTCTGAATTTGGCTTTTTTTAGAAACAAAAAAATCTCCCCAATTATGTGAATTTTCCGTTTTATGTTCAAGAGACAATCTGTTATTTTCTGTATTGCGTATGTTATTTCAGTGATGTGCGCCACTAGTACGGTGTACTCCTGGAATTTGTATCCTCTAACCGAGGAAACCCTATTGTTCTTTCCTGTAAGGCGCTACCGGCTGTTGGTCATAAAAGTATTTTGTCTTTAGTCCTTAGTCTTTATTTATTTGGCTCTGGAGAGCCGCGGCACCGCGGGAAGGCAGCAGCCCGTACCATGAAGGCCCGCGGTGCCGCGTCTAGTGAACATGATTATGTGATAAGAATATACATGCATGATAACGACATGGATTGTTGGTATTGGGGAGGATGGCAGTCCGATTCGCAGAAGTCCAGATTTCGTGGAGGTGGGTTGGGCGGGTCAGCAGCCAGCCATGGGGATCTGGCACGCCGTTCGATCGGTGCATGAAAAAGCCCCAGGAACATGATGGCGCTGTTGCTCACTGGGGTCCACTGGGGTCGAAGCATCAGGCTACAAGGAGGTAGCTTAGTCAAAGTAGAAGCCGCCGCTTCCGAGAAACCAGGGCTCAGAATGAGGCACCGCCGTCGCCCGGTGTGTCATCCTCTCAACGTCGTCGTCGTTGTGTTCTTTATTTATACGCGTATACATGTATAAATAAAATAAGATAGATAAAAAGACCCACAATTGAACGGCCAGTGGTGCGCCGTTCTAGTTATATTCCTAGTTATTTCTAGTTATACACGCTTGAAATAATTTTCTTCAGTTTGTGTCTGTAACCGAGCTAAACCTTTACGTACACAGGCAAATTCAAAGCAAAATATATACAATGCAAGTGTTTCTGACCCTACGTAACAATTGCTTATATTTGAAATCCAGGGCACAAATTTTTATTTTAAACATCTTAATATTATATAGTCATATTATAACCGTCACATTCTTAGTCAATATGCTGTCACAAACGCATCGCACAAATCTTTTTTTCGATAAGCCTATGTAAAGGTAGCTTAGCCGCAAGCTTTTTGGTGCACGGCGGAGTGCTAACTTTACAGGGGCGAAAAGCGGGCCTAATTTGAAAATCCCGAGGAATAAAAAGTAATAATTAAAATACCGAAATTTTAAGTGCGGTGTGTGCTATGAGTCGGCAGCTATTATATTCCTCGGGAACTTTACGATTCTTCATTTCAGTGAGAAGAAATTTAAAATTTTGTCAAAGTGGCCCATAGGACCCAATGAAACAATATTATATCGGGCCCAGGAATAAAAGGTATACAATCCTGAGGTACAAGTAGGCAATAAATAAGAGTGTATTAGTGCCCTATATAGATATCCCAGGGAACGTAAGGATTTCTACAGTAGTTTGGCTGAAATTATCATTTTACTGCGTTTTGCTGAGAATAGCCAAGAGGGGGCGCAAGGAGACCGTGCCCAGGAATGCTGGGGATGCCATGCTACAATATTGGCCAGAATAGCCCCTATGCGAGGAAACAATGAACAACTGAAACGAGTCAATTAGTAGCGGTTATACGAATAAAATATATTTTCTGTTTGTATACATCACAATCATGCATTATACAAAGAAAAAAATTAAACAAATAAACTATTATTTAAAAAAATGATATTGAATTTGCTAGACTTTTTAAAACTTCGTTAATTAAAAATGTATGTAGCAAATTGTACTTTGTACATAGACAGTCATGTCTCGTTAGTACGGACCCTGTTAATCTGGATATCCCGCTATATTGAGAACATTCTCAGGGACCGAATTGGGTAAATATATGTATATTTTTGTTTCGTTAATATGAACGCTTTTTGGGGGGAACGGAGGTGTAAATATTAACGAGAGGTATCACTGTATTATTGAATTCGTGTTCAATAAAAATAACTAAGTTCAAGCTTTTTATCTATGTCAAGGTCACTAAAACATCTTAAATAGGTCACACGTAACAACTTGCCAAAGTCTTACCAAAATCATAAAAAAACACAGTTCGAAAGTTTGCTTTAATATACTAAAATGCAAGATATATTTTTTAATTCGTTGATCATAATCAAGTCTGTTTCAAGAGTGTCACAAAAGAGCCCTAATGTAGTAGTTTATGAAAACAGACAGATTTCCAGCGGTCAAACATGCTATTTCCAACAAGTAGCAGAGAACATGTTTTCATCTCAACTCGGGCACGGGTTTAGGGCCAGTATGAAAACATATAACATATTTGTTTTAGGAGCATTCTTGCAATGAAATAGCGTAAACAGCAAGCTTGACGAATTTTCTTTTTGGAGTTACTGACCATTGAAGCGGCCGAGGCGAAAACTGACGTTTTTGCCCCTTGGACGTCATCGCATGTTTGAACGCTCGCTATTTTGACACTTGTCAAACTACTGCACTATGACCCTTCTGCGACACTCTTGAAATAAATTTATTTATGATCAACGAATGTGAACAAAAAACTATTATATTTTAGATTATTAAAAGGAATCTTATTATGTGTTTCTTCTTTCATAATTCTTGAAAAACTAGATGTTACGTGTGACATAGTTAAGATATCTTAATGATATCTTAGAAAGCTCAAACTTAGTTATTTTTAGTGAATAAAAATTTTATATTATATTGAAGAAATAAACTTTGTTATGTACATTTCAATTAACTGATATAAAGAAATCTAGTAAATTCAAAATCAATTTAAAAAAAAAAAGTTATTATTTGCTTAATTTTCGTTAGTAGCATATGGTGTTTGTGTTATGATTATGGTGTTTGTATGACCGCAAATAAAGTTGTCAAGTATTGTATAAAGTATTGTCAATTCGTTAGGACTGCGTTCTTTCATACCAATTACTCTGGCCAATATTGCTGCATGGATATGATTAATTATTTATTATTAATACTTTACCTAACATGTCAGCTTAAAAATAGGTGAAATTGTGCCTAATAAAAAGTAAAAGTAATTTTACTTTGCAGCAAAGTTAGCCGTTTTACAAAACACATATGACAAGTTTCAAGCTTTATTTTCGGTCCTATAAACAAAAGATAGTATTTTACATAGATATTTTCCCATAAATTAATATTATAGCTTGGAATTAATAAAAATAAAACAATTAAAACGTGCGTGAAAATTTATTCAGAATTTTCTAGATTTCCGAAACATTCCTCATTCAAATGTCCGTAACAGACTTTATTTTGTGCATATAATATCAAATTTGTATTCAATACAAATAGCGATGCTAAAGCTTTTAGTTTATGTAAAGTTTCTTTCTACAATATCTTAAATAGGTCATAACTTGCCCAACTATGTCAAAAAGAGCAATTGGACGACACAACTCTCCCTCTCTCTCTCTTTCTCTCTCTCTCTTTCTCTCTCTCTCGCTCTCTCTCTCTCTCTCTCTATATATATATATATGCGCGTGTGTATGTATTTTTTTTAATTAATTTTGCATAATAAAATATATATGCAGGGTCTCACAAAAGAGTCCTAGTGCATTCATAGTCATTTTTCTCGGACATTCCGTGGAATAAAATAACTTTCAAGGAAATATCAGAATTTTAATGTATTTGCCTTCTAGATGATACACAGGCAATCACAGACCTCGTGTACATTACTATATTTTGTCAAGAAATCTGAAATTGACAATTTTGTGAATGTGGCCCATAGACTGCAATGCAAAAATATTTGTAGAGACGTAGAATAAAAACTATACGCGTCCAAGATTTTAGTTATTCTTGTTGATAGTTTTATGAATATCATCTAAAATATTCCCGGGAAACATTTGATGTCTGTTGTTGTTCAGTTTAAATTTTCATTTTAGTGCATGCGCAAAAAAGAAAAAGAAAAGAAAGTTGGAGATGTATTTTTGGAAATGACAAGATAGCGAGCGGTCAGACATGCGATCCCCGAAAGGTGGGAGAAACGTCAGTTTTTGCTTCGGCCGCTTCGATGGCCAATGCCTTAACACAAAAATCCGCCAAGCTTGCCGTTGGTGCTCTTTTTCATTTCAGAAATGTTCCCAAAACATACTAGTTCGGTCAAAGAAGTTTGACTCCAAAGCCGTGCCTTAATTGAGAGGAACACATCCTCATAAAGTAGTAGTAAAACGTTGTTGCCTCTGTAGCTTATTTTCACACGAAAATGATCTACGCAAGTTATGTTGAGTAGCAAGAAGGATGTCATTGGTATCAATATGCTGTGTTTAATGAAGTTCTTAAAATTAAACGTAAAAAATTTGAATATAAAATTATGTTAAAATTTGTTTCGGCAATGTGTAGGTAACGAAGGCCACCCAGACCCCGAGTCAGTTTACAACTGCCAGTGTGGATGCCTCGCAAGAGAAAAATTACAACCGGAATCGCTTTGACGAGGACAACCGACCGGCTCGAAACGGCGAAAACTCAAATTCTCCTGCTGCAGTGCATGGCGTTCTGCGTGAACCCAGTGACAACAACGACAATCAGGAAGACGCTTACTCTCAGGAAGAAGAGCAGGGTTGCCTAGGAACGCTGCTCGGGGACTGCTTCGACAGGCGGGTATACGTGACCGCTGAAACTCCCGCTTCCCAATATAGTCTCGGTGGACCGACTCGTTGTGCCTCCGTTGGAGTTACTAAAATTTCGGATGTAGAGATTTTGATCGAGAGACCTTCCAGGCTTCGTTCATCACCTGAAGTAGTTTCACCACCGGATGATGACTCGTCACCTCGAGTTATCCGGTCCCCTAAAGTTGTCTCGTCACCTGAGGTTATCTCATCACTTGAAGGTATTCTGCCACCTGAACAAGGTATCCCGTCAACCAAAGTTGTCTCTTCACCTAAAGTTATCCCGTCAGTTAAAATCTCCTCAGCGAAAGTTGTCTCATTTCCAGAAGATGTCCCATACCCCGAAGTCGTCCCATCTCCTAAGGTTATGCCATCACCGGCAGCTTTGCCATGTCCTGAAATCTACCACTCAAACGAAAATCCATCAGATGAGGCGCTGCCAACTTTCGAGCCCGAATGCACACCTCGGAAAAGACGAAAAATCATGGCGGACCTCAATGTGACTACCAGTAATCAAGCTGCAACAAGGCGTCAGGTCAATCCTATGACAGATAAAAAGACGGGTCCATCGGACCCCGAAATGCATGAACTCGACCTAAAATCATCAGGAGGCACCAAAGCCCTCGCTCGTGTCGCCCTCGAATCTGGTGTCGATCGCAGACGACCCTACAATCTCTCCAGTGAGTTCAAGAACTTGACCAACATCGTAGGTCTCAAGCTCTTTTCCATGTTTAGCAAGGAGCAAAACGTCTGTTTGTCTCCCTATGGGTTGTCTTTCTTAGTTGCTGTCCTGGACCCTGCTTCCACCAAGACAGAGGGTGCTCTCAAAGAAGTTCTGAGGTACGGCGGATTGGCTTCTAGAACGAAGACGCCATTGGCTCAATCCTGTATCGAGGTCGTGTCCACGTTAAGGCGACGGGTTTGTGCTACGGACGACGTTAACGTCAAAACGGGCGTCTACCTCCGCAACTCGGGTCCTGCGGCTGCCGGAAGGACGTTTTCGAAGAACATCACTCGCCACGTGCTTAGTGCGGAGTTTAAAATCGCCTTCCAGGGTTGCTCACGCAGTGCATGGTGCGACGTGCTCTTCAACACAGCTCGCTTCGCAAATTCGTGGAGCTGTCCGTTCAGCAAGCAGTCCACTTATTCTGGTACGTTCTTCAACAATTGGACAGACAAGGTAGGTACAAGTAGGGTGCCTTTATGTGTACTCGTCCATCTTATTGTAATGACCCACCAAGTCATTTTGTGATACACGTAATGCTTCTTCGTTTCTATTTTGTTTTTCTGCTCTGGCGCACGTGAAAATGTGTCTTCCTAATCCAATTCTGAGCTCTGACCGATGCTTCGTTGTCATTTTTAATCATGCTGTTCCCTTACGCTTTTCCTGTGATCGCGTGCTTTTGGTGCAAATATTGGTATGACCAGAAGAACAACAGCGAGAAACACTTAAGTACAAGCTTCTATTTATTTATTTATTTATTTCGGCTACACCACAGAGCCCGTAAGGGCATTATAATGGGGGAGGGTCAAACAATTAAAACGCCACAACACATCACAGAGGTTTCAAGTTTTTGCACTTGAGACAACCAAGTGATGGTTTATTGTGCGGTATTTGCACACCTTACTTTAAAAGGATTGGAACTGGTATTGTGTCTGTCAGCTGTAGGTGTCATCATAGGCGCATATATGGTAAAATAAGTTGCAGAACCTACAAGAATATTGACATCATGCAGATATTCCATCTATGCATAACGCAGACAGAAAGAAGTCGAGTTTATGACTAGCACTATCATAAATTTTAAAAGTTTCACCACGCAGTACAAACAGGCAGTTTAGTTAGAGCATAGAACAAAGAACATAGATTTGTTTGAAGAAAAAACATGTTTGAAAGTACAGTAGTGAGCCGGTGAAAGCCTCAAAGGCTTGTGTACCTGGCTCGGCAGTTGAAGGACCGTCACAAGAATCAGAAACCTTCCAAAAGACAATATGCACATTTACTTTAATATTTTTCTAATGACTCTTCGACGTAGTCAACATTGGTGTACAGCAACCATGAACGTGCAATATGTATTTTACGCTGCAACGAACTTTCTACATGTTTACTAACCACAGTCTACTGCTGCCTCTTTTGTCATAAAGGTACCCGTGCAAATGATGCGGAGGACGGCTGTCCTTCCGTACGCTTTTATCGGAGCCTCGAACACCGACATCGTTGTCTTACCCTTCGACGACGGTGCCCTTTCTATGGTCGTGTTCTCCCAGAGGACGCCATCGAATCCCTTCTTATTAACGCCCGAAACTCTGTCCACTCTGTCCCGAAGTTTGAGAAACGCTCTGGTAACCGTGCACTTGCCCAAGTTCGAGCTGTCGAGCTCCCTAGACCTCACGACCCGGATGAACGAAGTGTTTTCGCAGTGCAACGAAACGAGCAGGGTAGAGTTCAGCCACGTGCACCAGAGCGCGTGCATCGCCGTGTCCGAGGGCGAAGAACCGCGCTTGTCGGTCGACCACAGCTTCCGCCACTCGGACAAGTCGGTGACGGTCACGTTCGACCGGCCCTTCAGCATCGTCGTGTGTGAGCGTGACTCGGGACTCGTGCTGTACCTAGGCAAGGTGGCTTCACTTAACGCCACTGTAACGTAGCGCTGCAAAACGCGGAAGTGTCTCAAGCAATAATTATCCTTTTTTTTTTTTTTTGATATAGCATAGTGGAGACGAGCTCAGACAGCAATCCAATCACTTTGGTTGTTTCTTAATAAAATATCTTCGTGCACAACTACCGTGATGAATATACATTAACACCTCGTTCCGCTAGATAGGGTTTTATCATGGGCACATGAAAACTCGATAAAAATGAACACAAATAAAATAAAATCTTTTTTTTGTCACTCGAAAAGAAACAATAAACAATTTCTGAGAGGCCTCGCATTGCTGGCCAAAAAGGTTCAAGTATACTGTTGCATCGTCATGCGTGTATAATAGCCAAGGTCGTCAAGCACAGAAGCTTCAGCGCTATATTTTTGTTTCCTTAGTTTAATTTTCTAGCGGTAGCGAACCCTATGTGGAGCGCAAGTTCTTCTGTTTCTTTCACAGGGGTTGCAATCATGATAGAACGCCGAGCTTTATTAACTGATTGAAAAAAAAGTGAAAGCCGTTTACAAAACTCCCTGTAACACCGAATTAGAGCGCAGCTCTTGAGGAGGAGGAAGGAAGGATACTGGGGGGGGGGGGGGGGGGTCAAGTGACCTGGGGGGGGGGGGGTTACGTGACGATGCCGATGATGTCATCAGTAACGTAATGCCGATGATGTCATCAGTGACGATGACGATGCGGATTCCGGTGACGTCATCAGCGATGATGACGATGACGATGCGGATGCCGGTGACGTCATCAGTGACGTCACTGATGACGTCATCAGTGATGATGACGATGACGATGCGGATGCTGGTGACGTCATCAGTGACTATGACGTCATCGGGGAGGTCACGTGACCTCGGGGGGTGTCACGTAACCGGGGGGGTCACGTGACCTCGAAGGATGGGGGTCACGTGACCTCTGGGGGTCACGTGACTTGGGGAGACGTGACTTTCGGTGTCACGTGACCTTGGGAATCACGTGACCCTGGGGGAGGGGTCACGTGACCTTGGGGGTCGCGTGATTTTGGGGTGACCTTGGTTACGCCGACGCCGACGGCGACGCCGCTCAAGCCGGGAACGGGCCCCTAAGAGCTGCGCTCTAAAATAGTGGGTTGTCCTCAAGGAATCTAGCACTGAAGTCTGCGCACTTTCCTTTCAATCGAAGCTAATCAGAGACTGGCGTCATTCTGACGTCATCACAACTCCTGCGCAGGAAGCAGACGACTTGCTCTCCGTATAGGCCTCCTGCATTGCCCAGGCGACACTGCGAAAAAATACTTATTAGACAGTTTTCGTTAACCGTACGCTAAAGCTTTGCGTATGCAAAGAACTTGCAGGTCGGGAGTGCGCATGCGCAGAACGCAATAGAAGGGCTATAGCGTATTCGCACGCAACGCTCGGGATTTTACACTGCGGGCTAGCGGGCATTGCGGGAGCTCTCAAAAGGTCTCGGGCCCAGCGAGAGCATCGGTTCAAGATGGCGGTTACCTCGACCTAAAGTTACTGGATCTGGGAAAGTAGCGTCATTGCCTTCCCACCTGCTAGCCGGACACAAACAAATACCAACATAGAAACGACAAAACCTCTGAAGGTGATTGGCTCATCGCTGTCGGTTGTCATGCTGATCGCCATATTTGGACCCTTTCAAGTCTTCGAAGGGGTCGTTAAAATCAGTCGCACCAAGATCGCTATGGAGGATCACCGTGCTGAAAGCGTTCCTGGGCCAATATGAGCGTCTTTGGCGCTGTTCATGAAATAAACTTATCCCTAGTGCTTATTTCCCTAGATCTCTTACAATTATGGTGATCTTGTGTGTTCCAAACTGTAAAGTTATTTTTCAAAGCCTCAAAGCACTGACGTTGCGTGTGATGGCGGTACGAAGATGTACGGCATCATACGCGGCGTCGGTGCTTGGGGGCATTAAAAATGTATAAATGAGAAAAGTCTAAATAAATAATACTAAATATATAAACAGTTAAGTGCAAAATTTAAAATTAGAGCTAACATCATACAAAAAGAAGCTAAGGTGGATGAATACGTATACTTTGTTATGGAATTTAATATTTAGCTATACTTATGACGTCACACGAAGAATTGGAGCCCAGAAAACATACCAGGCATAAATCAAAGCGCATATAGGAACTGGGTATGTAAACACAGGGCAGTAGACTCGTGAGAATGATAGAACTGATGCTGAGAATACGCAAAAGGTACGACACAATACACCAAGCACAATATACATCGGAACGTAAATGAATTGTAACATATATAGTTACACAGATATGAAACGAGGGACTAGGATGTGAATGTCCGATTAATAATATGACGAGAGGACATACTTTGCGGTAGGCAGCTTTCTCTCGTTTTTTCTGGTAACTTCGTTTGAGTGTTGTAGGCTGTAGGGACCCATTTGCACGGTGCGCAGAGAAGACAAGAAGGACGAGCGCGTGCGGCGGGACCAGCCAAGGAGCTCGAGAGACCGAACGATCGGCGGGACATAATAGGGAGTTTTCGTAGATCGTTCTGGCGTCTCCGCTACGCCTCCGCTACGTTATCCGCTACGCCTTCGCAACTACTGCGCATGCGCCAATCTAGCGCAGACCTTGCGGGCGTGGTTGCGGAGGCGCCTTACGAAATAGCAGATCTCAAGGTACGCTGGCCGCTCGATTGTGTGTCTTTTTATCTATCTTATTGTATCTATACATATATACGCGTATAAATAAAGAACACAACGACGACTACGTTGAGAAGATGACACACCGGGCGACGGCGGTGTCTCAATCTGAGCCTGGTGCCTCGGAGGCGGCCGCTTCTACTTTGACTGGGTTTCTTTATGCACCGATCGAACGGCGTGCCAGATCCCCCAGCTCGCTTCTCACCCGCCCAACCCACCTCCACGAAATCTGGAATTCTGCGAATCGGACTGTCATCCTCAACAATATCAACAATCCATGTCGTCGTCATTATGCCTCTATATACTCATGACATTATCATGTTCACTAGACGCGGCACCGTGGGCCTCCATGGTACGAGATGGTGCATTTCCGCGGTGCCGCGGCTCTCCAGAGCGAAATAAATAAAGTCTAAAGGCTAAAGACAAAATTCTTTGCTGATGAACAGTCGGTAGCGCTTAAAAAAAAAGAAGAGCAATAGTGTTTCCCCGTTTATAGAATACAAATACCAAAACTACACCATCAGCGGCGTAGACTTTCCATTTTCCCGGGGGGGGGGGGGGGGGGGGGGGGGTGCTGCGCGTTACCTTTTCGCCAGAACTGGAGATTGAAGCTAACGAAAGCACGCTGGGATTCCATTTCCCATGTATTTTGTCAATAAAGGCAACGTGGGTGTTATTTTGTTTACATGCCACTACTTGAAGCTCGTTACGTGGCACGTAAGCAGCGTCTCAGTAAGAATCATGCCCCGGGCTCGGGGGGGGGGGGGGGGGGGGGGGGGGGGGCGCACGAGTTCCGATGCCCCTTCGAAGTCTACGCCTATGTACACCATACCAGTGGCGCACATCAGTGAAATAACATCCGAAAACATCAAATACACATCCTCTATTTCCCTCCAACTTAAACTGGTCAATAAAAGTTGGTCCTCAAGAAAGCTGAGCCGCTGCATCTTCGGGAATTGGCGGAGAACGCGTCCACGTACATAAAAGAGCGCGAGATGACAAAGAGAGCATTGGCTTGGCCGAACTGAATCTGGCTTTAAAGGGATACTACAACGAAATTTCGGTGCTCATTTTTTTGGTCTATATGTGTTCAAAAGAGCAGTATCACATGGAGCATACCAATATCTTGTTAAAAAAGTCACGAAAAGGAGTTTTAAAACGAATTAAACGATTATCAAAGAGCACCTGGTGGATGTCGCTAACGCCTCGTTTGTAATGCTCGTCTAGGAACCTTGACAGCTAGTGACGGAGGTTGTCTCGTCTTCGGCCACGACGAGAGAAGGGGGGAAGGAGGAACTCCCCTCTTCCCGAGAATCCCTTTTGTGTGTCGCAGAAGACGCTATTGTCCTCCTAGAAGATTATAGAAGATTAACCCGTCACTCAAAATTCGTACAAAAGCAGCCGCTTCGGTGGCTGGGACGACTAGGCCATCCTCTCTATGTCAGCCTCGCCGTAGCTTCGCTCGTCTTGAGACGACCTACGTCACGATTGCGTTGGATGTCACGTGCTCTAAGCTGGGCCTTCTCCGAGCGCTTGCCAGAGTGGGCCGTTTATAACGAAAAATACAGCCACCAGGATCAAAATACAAACGTGCGATTGTCATTTACGGATATTGTGGATCATATTCAACCTATTTTTGAACACGACGGGAATATTTCAAATTTCGTTGAAGTATCCCACCGCAAGCTGGCAAGATGTGCTACGAAGAATATATCCAGAAAAAAAGATTAACATTCATAATCGTTAATTAACCATGTGTTGTGTTCGAAAAGAGGCACTCTGACAAAACAAATACGTGGTTGCAGTAATAGTATGCGTTTAGTGTTTTATATAGTGTTTTTTACGACCGCTAGTGGTGCTGTCATAATCGCAGTACCGTAGCCCGCAGAGAACGGTACGAAAGCACTTTTGTGAGTCTCCGCTATGCCTCTGTTAGCGGGTCTCGTAGCGCGTAGCGGATAGCGTAGCGGAAAGGCCAAAACGATCTACGAAAACTCCGTAATAAGCTCTCTGTGATCGCAGCTACCCCTTATGGATTCCGCACATATAAGATAAATATTGTAAAATATTGTAGATAGAGTATTAAAGAGTTAAGTACCGCGTAACTATAAGGCGTTACCGAAAAAAAGTAACGAAATACATTACTCGTTGCTTGCAAATAAAAGGCACGCGTTACCGTTACCGATAAAAAAGTAACGCATGTTACTTTTGCGTTACTTTTTTTAATTATGAATTAACACGTGCTACTGTTTTGACGGTACCGGTATGTATAAGCGCCATATTTCAAGAATAATTATGTTCATGCAGAAACACAAATACTCACAAAACAAAGC